TAAGTCATGGCGATGCAATGTACACCATGATAACTATAGTTAATAATACTGAATTGTGTGTTTGAGTGTTGCTCAGAGAGTAAGATCTCAAAAGTTTTCATGTATGTGATGGATTATTGCCTAGACATATTGCAGGTCCTAATGTATACAAATATCAAATCATGTTGTACATCTGAAACTAATTTAATGTTATATGTCAATTATATTTAAATAAAATGTTTAAGAAGAACTATAATCACTGAAGACATTAATTTAAAAAGAAAAATCACCTCAGGGAGAGGATATAGCTCAGTGTTAGAACACGTGCTTAGCATGCACAAGGTCCTGGGTTCAATCTGCAGTACTTTTATTTAAAAAAATTAAAATAAATGAATAAATAAATCCAATTACCTCCCTCACCAAAAAAAGAAAAAAAAACTATATAAAAATAAAATAAAAAAATAAAAATCACCTCAAAAAAAAAAAAAACTGTTCTCAGATCTCAGATGGCTCCACTAACAAGTTTGCCGAATGTTCAGAATTGTAATGTAACACAAACTCTCCAAGAGAATAGAAAAAAGAAGGAATATTTTACAACTCATCTCAGGAGATAGAATAGCCTTAACACACTTAATGATGAATTATGAGGACAGAAAATATTAGCCAAATCTTATTTATAAATATAGATTTAAAATTCTAATATCAGCAAACTGAATTCAATAACACATGAACAGTTTGCTGAAACAGCTAGTTCAAGACAGAGAACTACAGCCACAGCTCTAAGGGTCAAGATCCCAGGAGAAGGGAAGCTGGGTGAGGTAAGCTGGACATTCTCTGCACTCTTTGTCCTAAGCGCATTGGGCAACTTACTGCATGGGACCCAGAAGCGAAACAGATTGCAGTGTCTCAGAGTTTAGGCTTTCTCTCAGAGATGAAGAGACAAGCTGAAGGTCAAAGCAGCAAGAAAGTTAGGACTTTTGGGGGCACATGACACCAGAGAAAAGGGAAATGCAGAAGAGTGAGACCGACATTCTGCTGGGCCTTTGCCTTAAAAAAAAAGTATTTATATATATAAATACATATATATATACACATATATATATACACACACACACACACACACACACACATATACATAAACACACACACAACCCTAAGCTGCATGGGAACAGGATTTATTCATTTCATCCAAAAGTCACACTATTTTTTACTTTCATTTTTGAAAGATACTGCCACTGGGTATAAAATTGTGGTTTGGAAGTTATCTTCTTTTAGCAGTTTACAGTCCTATATCTATTGAAGAAATTATTAAAATTATTAAAAAATCCTCCAACAAGTAACAACTCAGGTCTTGAGAACAGAAAAGGTCTCTTTAAAAAATAATAATAATAAGGTCAAAAATACCTTGATTCCAAAGCTGGCAAGAACATTACAAAAGGGGGTAATTATCACTCTGTTATGAATGTAGACACAAACATCCTTAATAAAATATTAGCAAATTGTGTGTGTTAAAAAAAAATAATCACTTGATGTGTGAGGATGACAAGAGAGAGGTCACTTTAGGCAGAGAAGATCACTGTTCAAAGCTTAATGCATTAAACAGTGAGGAACAAAGAAAATATAGAGGAAGACAGATTTAAAAGATGCTTAGAATGCATAACCAATGGGTGTCTTGGTGAACCACCAAAGTAGGGTGATTAGAGGTAGGGAAGAGACACCTTCAAGGATTTTCTCATTTGGATAACAGGGATAATGGTGATCCCAGAAAAATGCAGGAGGAGAAAAAAAACATGTTTTGGAGAAATTCTAATGAATTTGATTTGAACCCCTCAAAATTACCCCTAGTAATTCAAAAGATCACCAAGTTCTGTCAACTCTACTTTCTACCTATCTCTTGTCCACACAGTCTTTCAAACCTTAGTTTTATTCTTATCTGGAACACAGCTGCCCAATAGATCCACCTGCCTCTCATCTGCTTCCCTTGTAACTTCTCCATCCTGTTGCCTAAGTGATCATGGTAGTGAACAGTGCAGGGAGAATGGTGTGTGTGATGCTCCATTATTGGAAATCAAAACAATGGGCAGAAGCTTAATACATTCAGGAAGGTAGGAGGTCTGACCATCAGGCTGGTGTGAACTAACAGTTATTGCTATTTGGACAATTAAAGTAGGTAGCATATCAGTTACATATGGTAATTTCCTTTTTTCCCCAGCTTCATTGTAATATAATTGACATAACATTGCATAAGTTTAAGGTGTACAATGTGATGATTTGATACATGTATATATTGTGAAATGAGAGTAATTTACTTTTACATTAGTAATTTCCAAATAACATTAGAAATACAAGTGCTAATTGGCACCACTGCCTGCTTGAGGGATTTGGATTTCTTCTGCCTACTTTTTTTTAAAACTTATTTTGAAATAATTCATAAGAAGTTGCAAAGATAGTACAAAGAGGTAACGTGTCCCCTTTGCCCAGTTTCTCCCACTGGTTACCTCCTTCTGTAACAATATCAAAACCAGGAAATCAACATTAATATAGAATTGTGTATACTTCTATGTCATTTTATCACATGTGTAGATTTGTGTAACCATCCACAGCAATCAAAATGCAAAGTATCCCATCACCACCAAGATCTCTCTCAAGTTGCCGCATTATAGTCACACCCACCCCCGTCCCACCCATCATCCCTAACCCCTGAAAAATGTTGGTTTCTTTTTTAACTTCCTATCTAGGGAAATGATTGAAGGATGCATATTAATAATATATGTGGTGATACAATCGTTCATGTTTTAACACAGAGCATCCTTTGCAGATCTCGTTCCCTTCACCTACACCCCTTGCACCCACCTTCTCTCTACCGACTCACATTCTGCCAATTCCTCAAGATTAAGGTACAGTTATGTAAAATAATAACACGTCGACTTCTCCCCTTCTTGATATTCCTGTTCTGTGTTCACGGCACATGCCGTCTATACCACTGGTATCACTGATATTTTAATCACCTATTCCCTTGTAAAACTTTGTATTGTTCCGTGATAGAATTATTTAACTTCTAAATATGTACTTTTTTCTTCTTCAGAAGATACCGTTTTGTACCGCTTATTGAATCCATCACCAGTGCCCAGCAAAGATGAAAACAATGAGCATTTAATTTTTAAAACATTCTTTGAGATACTATGTTTTCTTTAGAAGAGCTCAATAAATTACAGATGTTACCCCAATAATCCTTGACAGTACTGCTATGCAGTTCATCAGTATTATCATGCTGGAACCTAGTACAGCACCTGGTTTAGACATTCAATCAATATTTAGATTAATCAATTATCCTAAATTCAAAATTAGGGAAATCAGAGGCATTAAATAAGATTAGTTATCAAGGGGGTAGGATACAGCTCAGTGGTAGAGCACATGCAGTCCTGGGTTCAATCCCCAGTACCCCCATTTAAAAAATTTAAATAAATAATTACCTCCCCTCACTAAAAAAAAAGGTAAAGAAAAACATTTTAATATTTTTTAAAAGATTAGTAATGTATACTGAATTGCCAATTGTTGTTAGGAAAGAGGCAATGGAAGATTAGAAGAGAAAATGGAAGTGGAAATGGGGGCAGAAGAGAAGTAAAGCAATAAAGATGAGGACAAGTACATTCAGACCTTAGAACTGAACAACTTAATCAGAAGGACTGGCAGACTCAACACAATCTGACATGTGTATCTTGCTTAAGTCGCCATTGTTGAAATAAAGTCTGACGGAATCCAGTGTTTGGAGAGGGGATTGTGAGCAAGTAATTAATTATGGGAGAAAGAGGTGGTGGGACGGGCATGGAGCTCCTGAGTGATGCTCTACTGGTCATGCTGAGCAGCTACCCTGGCCCCTCACTGAAGGACCAAGGAGTGGGGCTAATAATTCCACCTGCTATTCTCTATCTACCAGATCACTTCACTGTGTAGCAACTGAGAATTAGGCACGGAGACAAATAACTACTTACATGAGAGGTTGCCGACCCCATTAACTGGCAAACAGGTCCAGGGGTAGTAATATAACCGATTGGTTTATAATCCTTTTCCACTTCGAAGAAGAAGACAGTTTTATCTTTACTCTAAGAAAAATAGAAATACTGTCAAATATGTATTATTATGAAATCTATTCAATAGAGTACAAAGAAACATTTAGTAACTATATTACACCTACTATATACTTACACCTACAATGATCATATATCCCAGATTTTCTGGGAACATGCTTATTTCAAATATTTGCTTCATTTTCCCCATGAGAATATTTGACAAACCATGTTTTCTTGTATGTGGGTCTGAAAAAATGATCACCATACCTGTACATGAGATTAATTCACAAAAAAATTCTACAACGCATATGCTCACCTATTTATGCATGTTATTCTCTTAATTTATGACAATTCTATATAAGAACACAGCTATGTTATAAAATACTGATTATACATAAAAGACGCTGCATAATTCCCAGTTGAAAATTTCTATTCATTAAAAAGAAGCATTACAACTCAATTTGTAAGAATATTTTTAAGTGTCACGCATAGATGATACTGAATACGAATACAAAGAAAGCAAAATGTGGATATCTTCTTGAAGGAATATCAGCAGATAAGGCATCATTAAGTAAGCAGACTAATAAGGCAAGGTTAACGACAAACATTCAGTGCGAAACAAAAGGAAATCTACTACTTACCCCTGTGGCTAGAATTTCTCCATCACGGTCATAAGCTAAAGCAGTGACAGGAGCAGTGTGGGGTTTGAAAGCCTTTTTTAGTCGAATATCTGCATCCAAAATTCTCTTCCTTCCCACAAAAATTGTGAGCCCTTTTGGATCATAAAGGTCAAGAATTCGAACAACACCATCTTCAAATCCTACAATAATCTGTCCTCCAGTGTAGCTTACCTTAGACAAAAAGAAATTCAAAGGATCTGAAATTAGTTAATTAAGAAAGTTGTACTACATAACAGATACTTCAGGATTTTATTTAGACTTAAGTAATTTAACTAATTGACTGTTCATTGGTAATTCCACATATCACTTTCTGGTAACCTCCATCTATTCTAGGACAGTCCCTTATCACTGCTGACCATGAGACAGGTAAACAATGGCAATCCAAACACTCAACGAGTAGAGTGTCTATCTACCACGTGCCAGGCGCCCATCACCAGCAACCAAGTGTGAGCATAAACACTTTCAACTTGTTTTCACAAATTCACGGTCAAGTGGGAGGACAGACATTAACCAGCCACACAAACATTAATCAGCTCCACAAATGAATGTGGAATTATGAACTGAAATAAGCATTAAAAGAAAAACATTCTCTGGGAGCAGATAGCAAAGAAAGCTGACCTAGGCTGAGGGAGGAAGAAATGGTGGAGCTGAGATCAGAGGGACACCCAGGAATTAACAAAGTACAGAAACACTTCGGAGAGAGGATATGGCTTGTGCAAAGGTCATGTGGCAGGAAATAATGTAACTCAAGAAAAAGTTTGACCAGAGCAGACTGAGTGAGGGAGCAGTGTTTCCACAAGCAGGCACTAGTTCACAAAGTAGCTTACATGTCACATTAAGGATTGTCTTCGTCCTAAGAGCAGTGGGGAGACAAACAGTTTTTAGTTGGGGGTTTGGGGTGGGGAGGTGACATGATCAGATCTGCTATATCAGAACAATCATCCTAGGTGCAGTGTAGGAAACAGATCTGAGATGGCATAGACAGGATGCATGGGAATCTGGAGGGAGACTAAGTGACAGCTGTTGTACTCCTGGAGACTGACTGTGGTCACCTGGTCTGAGGTGGTGTAATGGAGATGAGAAGTGTGGACACAATTTAGAGACAGGTATAATGGGTCCTATTTGGTGATGACTGGATATGAGGAATGAGGCAGAGGGAGGTGTCAAGGATGACTGAGACATTTACTAAGACAGGAAACACTGGAAAAGAGTCAGTCAGGTGTAGGTAGGGGTGGGTGGGTGGTGGGTGGGTGTGTGTGTGTGGTTTGTTGCTGCTATTATTGTTTTTATAGGAGGGGTGGCTGGGGGCCAGCAGATCATGAATTTAGTTTTGGACATGCTGAGTTTGAAGTCTCCTGGAAATCCCCAGATGAAGATGACATACAATTTGCAGCTTAGACGAGAAGTCTGGGCTGGAGCTATAAATCTGGCCTTGTCTGAATACATTAGGTGTGCCATCTTGGAAGGCATTCAGGAAAGGGGCAAGAGCCCTGGTATTCTTTAGAGCAGACTGATCATCCCTGAGGCCAGGCAGTTACAAAAATCTTAGGAATAAGAAAACTATGTTTCATTCAATTCCAGTTGAATGCTGTTTATTTAAACGTTTACTAAGTATCTCAACATACAAGTAACTCAAGAGGCACTGGAAGTACAAACAAGAATAAGATATGGTCGCCACGAAGAACAATCTGGTGGGAAAGACAGTCAATAAAGCAAATCATCTTAGTACACTGTGGTAAGTGCTTTCAGAGAGGTATATACACAGTCAAAAAAATCACAGAGGAAGGAGTACTGAGCTCTACTTGAAGGTGGGGTCCCGGAGGGCTATGCAGAGGAGATGATGTTTGACCTGAGATAAATTATAAAGGCTATGTGCAGTTTTCCAGAAAGGCAAGAGTGTATGAAGAAGGGGCAACCCTAGCATAATATCCATATGACCCTTACTTCAATATAAGGCTAAAAGAGAAAACATTCTCTGGACATTGTACAAGCATCTAAATAAATGGTTCAATTGTGAGGGCTGTATTTTAAAGACTCTCGGTGAGAGTGAAAATAGATGAGGATAAAGAGTGATCGAGTTTGGTTATCTAAATACTCTGAGGTTTCCACTGAATCAAGCCTCATCACCGTTCTGCTTCTATTCCCTGGCCTGAGTTCTCCTTCTGATCTTGGTCCCATCATGAAATTTCCTGCCAATCAAGCCATCTCCACATCTATTTTGGGCCTGGAATATTTTCTCTTTGATTTCAACCTAAAACAGTAAGGATAAAATATTCCCCAAATATTCCCATGACCTTTAAACACGTGGCTGCAAACTCTTCGACATGCCTCCCATGGAGAGATGGGGTGGAAGTCCCTCCCTCCTTGAATCTGGGTGCAGCTTGTGATGGCTACACCCACCCAACTGAGTGTGGTACAAGTCACATTATGTGACTTCCAAGGCTAGGTCATAAAAAGACAGCAGCTCTGCCTTATTTGTTAGAACACGATCTTGGAACCCTGAGCTGCCATCAAGAAGTGTGTGACTGCCCTGAGGCCACCATGCTGTGATAATGAGCTTTCCATGTGGCATGGGCTTCAAGTAAGCACTCCTGTTGACAGCCTAGCTTAACCCAGCCTTCAACTCAGGTGCCAGACTTGAGACGAAGAAGACCTTAGATTGCTCCATTCCCCACCTGGGGCCCCAGATACAATGAAGCAAAGATAACCTATGCTTGCGGTCAGGTGTATGCATTCCCAAACCAGAGCACGTGAGAAAAACAAAATGACTGCTGTTTTATGCCACTACATTTGGGGTAGTCTATTACACAGCAATAGACAATTATAGTAACTCCCTATCTCTCATTCTTTTTTTTAATTTTTAATTTTTTATTGGGGGGGTAGTAATTAGGTTCATTTATCAATTTTTAGAGGAGGTACTGGGGATTGAACCCAGGATCTTGTGCCTGTTAGGCACGCGCTCTATCACTTGAACTATATCATCCCCCCATCTCTCATTCTTTTCCCATAGCTCTTAACATTATCTAACCTGTCACTTACTTATTTTGTTTCTTGTCTGTCTCTACACCCTCTCTCCCACTGGAGTGTTTAAGGTTCATGAGGGTAAGTATTTCTGTCTTTTTGTTCATTGCCATATTCCTAGAATCTAGAAAAAGGGCCAGCACATTGTAGACATGCTGGAAATACATAAAATGAATGAAATCAGAGTCAGACAGATAGAGGACAGATACACAAAGTTCTGTTGGGTAATTACTTGGTAACATGGAACTATTTCTACTCTATAGATGGCATAACAATAAAGTTTCATTAAAACAAATCAGAACCACAATAGCAAAGTCAGGACATGATTTCTATCAAGTTCTGAGTGAACAAAGTTAAAATTTTTATTCCTCTCTAAAATCCAGAGTCAGAAAATATCTTTATTTCCAAGAGCCAGCACTGATACCATATTTACAAGTGGCTTCTAGCAGAAGTTCTTAATAGTAACAAGCTTACCAGTCGTGGTACCCAAATAAGGGCAGTACCTCCTTGTTTGAATTTCATCTGAAGCAAAGGAGTTTTGCTAGAAAAATCATAGAGTCTAACAGAACCTATAAGTAAGACAGTTTTAAAAGAAAGAAGTTATATACATAAAAATATCCTTAATAACCTTGACTCACTTTACATAACAAGAAACTTAATTAAATCAACTGATAATCTAATAGCCTTTCTTTAGTCAACTATTTACATGTATACCCTCAATCAGGTACTTTATAAATATGAATACATACCATGCCATTTCTATAAAGGACTTAAGCATTGGGGATTTTAGTATCAGAGGGAGTCCTGGAACCAATTTCCCATGGGTTAAAAAACAACAGCTGATTGACTAGTGGATCAATTTCACCTTGCACAGTCCACATAGGTTCGCTACGTCAAGAAGGAAGAAAGGAGATGGAAAGAAACGTGGATAATAGTAAAACGAATGGCACTTTTGTGAGTAACTTACTGATGTGTCTTCATTTTAATCTCTCACAATAACCAGGACTGCTGTAATTGGAGCACTCCCCTCTCCGCAAAAACTCACCTCACTTGCATCAAGAGGCTTCTGTTTGGAAAAATTCTCAAATGCTTTACGCAGGAAGGAAGCGTATAACTCAGTGGTAGAATGCATGCCTAGCATGCATGAGGTCTTGGCTTCAATCCCCAATGCCTCCATTAAAAAAATAAGTAAATCTACCTCCCCCAAAACCGCCTAAAAACTTTTTAAAATACTTTAAGCAAACACAGAAAAAAATGTATTGAAAACCAAAAAGGCCAAAGATGCATGTCTACTTACAGTCTAAGCCAGTAGTGGCCATGAGGTAAGTGAGAGGGGACACGGCCAAGGCTTCAATGGCTCCAGAATGGAAAGAGAAGAGGCATTCTGGATCTTGGGTCTGATAATAAAAAGAGATCCAATTAGATCTCTAAGATAGAGTTAAGGTCAAGTTTAAAGAAATGCAAATAGAACCCTGTAACATGTGTGACTTTATCTGAGTAGAAATAAGAAAACATATTAAGACAGAGGGCTGAAGTTTGGAATTAGGAGAAACAGAGTACTGGCTTTGCACTCGATGGCTGTGGTCACTTCAAATGCCAGTTTCCATTTCTTCATCAACAAAATGAGATGATGGCAACTGCCTGCCTACAAAAAGGAGTAGTTGTGAGTATTACGTGAGATAATATAAATTAAAACCCCATATGTTTATGAAAATGGTAAAGCTGTATAATGTTAAGCATTGTCATTGCCACTTTTCTTGTAAGTTTTGTTATGAGATAGAGCCTTTTTATGTAAAATTATAAACAAGAGAAACAGACAATATGAACTCATTAGGATATGTTGAGCGAGTTTTTGAAGGGAACAAAAATCAAATATGGAGAAAGATAAAGTATCTTTTAGAGGATAAAGATTTTTACTATGAAAATTAGAAATAAGAAAAATAGGCAACTTACAATATTTGAAAAACTGAGGTCAAGCTTCCATATGCCTCCATTGGTATCCTGAAAAATTAAATTCCTAATAGTCTGTTTTATCATTTTGAACTTTTACCAAATTAAAGGAATTTTCTTTTTATCATTTAGTTAAGGGACAAACAACACTACCAGAAGTTTACATATATTTTAAAGTGTGGTTGAAATTTAACAGTAGCAACTTGTATATATCTTAGAACACAACCACACAATAAACGAAGTGATTACATAAAACTTATCATCCGTTTAACATAACAAAAATGCTAATCGGTTTTCTGTGTATAAAGCATTAGTCAATTAAATATCAAAATTCAGGAATTCTTCACTGAAGTATAAACAGTAGTCCTAATAGTACAGTGGACTTACAGGGACAATAAATTATGCTATTTTAATTTTACATCCAGATAACTTTAAAGAGCCAAGACAGAGAAGTGTATCTTACCTGAGCCAACCAAAAGTTGTTTCCAGTTTCATTCATTTTTATCATAGAGAAGAGTTTGACACTCTTGTCTACTTGAAGTTCATTAATGGGCTCAATCTCTAACAATCCAGTCTCATCTGTGGTATCAGCAGTGTCTATTGTCTCCAAATCCCATATCTTATAAAA